GCACTGTGCTCTACAGGGTGCTTGTGGTGCCACTACCGTCCCCTGGCACTGTGCTCTACAGGGTGCTTGTGGTGCCACTACCGGCCCCTGGCACTGTGCTCTACAGGGTGCTTGTGGTGCCACTACCGGCCCCTGGCACTGCGCTCTACAGGGTGCTTGTGGTGCCACTACCGGCCCCTGGCACTGCGCTCTCTCACACTGCAACACCACTCTTGGGGGAAAATGATCATTTTCAATATACTATTCTTGAACAGCGTGTACGAGTGATAACCATTTGTTAACTGTGTAAAGTGTATACCCGTGCACTATAGTGAGGTGTGCCTGGTGAGGAGAGCTGGTGATTGTGTCAGTATCTTACAGTATATTTGTTAAGAAGTATTTAGCGCCCGTGGGGAGGGGGGGGGAGCATCTGGAGAAGACATTTGTGTATCGCCTTGAGCCTTTCAAGACCTGTGAATGCTGCTGCTGCTGCTGCTGCTGCTGCTGCTGCACGGAGAGGCCCTTGTTGTTATTAGGTCAAGCAGCCAGCCCCCTGGTGCTAGATACTAGAAACATATGCACGTCGAAAGGGCGGGAAAGAGACCTTGAGCGGTTTTAAAAATGTTTCAATGAAACTACATCCAAATTTCTACTATACGCACACACTCATGTTAGAAGGTCCTCTAACTTGGTAATTCCTTCACATTAACTTCTAATTGCTAGAAGGTAAATTGTTGTTAACCACTGATCACTATTCCAGAATCCGACTTGTTATAGTAATTATTAAATATTCTATAATTAGTCATAATTAACGTCAGCCGTCTGGCCAGAGTGTGAGGACTTTAGATCTGGTGTACATGGTAGCGGAGCCTGGCAGTACCCCCCCCCCCCCCTCGGGCCCTCCCACCTGTACAGTTACCTGGTCTCCTTCCCTCGTCCCAAACACCACTACCCTTTCCCTCCCCCATTCACTTCTATACACCTTCCCCCTCCATCCCCCTTTCCTTCCCCATTCCTTTTTCTTCCACTAGTCAACAACCCACCACTACCACCACCATTATAACTCAACAACACTACAGCAACCACCACTACCACAACCACCACTACCACAACCCTCACTACTGTGATACCCACTGTATCCACCACACATTAGGCCGTGATGTGTGGGAGGCAAACTCAGTACACAGGAATCTATACACCAATTGATTCACACACTCACACGTGTGAATGAGTGTGTTCACACGCGGAATGGAGAAATGTCACAAGTGGAGTACCACAGGGTTCAGTTCTTGCACCAGTGATGTTTATTGTGTACATAAATGATCTACCAGTTGGTATACAGAATTATATGAACATGTTTGCTGATGATGCTAAGATAATAGGAAGGATAAGAATTTTAGATGATTGTCATGCCCTTCAAGAAGACCTGGACAAAATAAGTAGATGGAGCACCACTTGGCAAATGGAATTTAATGTTAATAAATGTCATGTTATGGAATGTGGAATAGGAGAACATAGACCCCACACAACCTATATATTAGTGAGAAATCTTTAAAGAATTCTGATAAAGAAAGAGATCTAGGGGTGGTTCTAGATAGAAAACTATCACCTGAGGACCACATAAAGAATATTGTGCAAGGAGCCTATGCTATGCTTTCTAACTTCAGAATTGCATTTAAATACATGGATGGCGATATACTAAAGAAATTGTTCATGACTTTTGTTAGGCCAAAGCTAGAATATGCAGCTGTTGTGTGGTGCCCATATCTTAAGAAGCACATCAACAAACTGGAAAAGGTGCAAAGACATGCTACTAAGTGGCTCCCAGAACTGAAGGGTAAGAGCTACGAGGAGAGGTTAGAAGCATTAAACATGCCAAAACTAGAAGACAGAAGAAAAAGAGGTGATATGATCACTACATACAAAATAGTAACAGGAATTGATAAAATCGACAGGGAAAATTTCCTGAGACCTGGCACTTCAAGAACAAGAGGTCATAGATTTAAACTAGCTAAACACAGATGCCGAAGAAATATAAGAAAATTCACCTTCGCAAATAGAGTGGTAGACGGTTGGAACAAGTTAGGTGAGAAGGTGGTGGAGGCCAAGACCGTCAGTAGTTTCAAAGCGTTATATGACAAAGAGTGCTGGGAAGACGGGACACCACGAGCGTAGCTCTCATCCTGTAACTACACTTAGGTAATTACACACACACACACACACACACACGATGTGTGTGTGTGTGTGTGAAAATGTGAGAAAGCATATGAGGGGCTTGGACAGTAACAAAAGGATGACACATGGAGACAGGACCAGGATGAGTGCCTCCGAGTGAGACACGAAGCGGAGACAATTGGAAAATGGCACAATATAGAGCAAGAAACCGACCAATACTGTTCCACAATCACACCAAGACTAAAACAACGGCGGAGTCAGCCCAAGCAGCAGGGCTGGAGGCGTCAGCCCAAGCAGCAGGGCTGGAGGCGTCAACCCAAGCAGCAGGGCTGGAGGCGTCAACCCAAGCAGCAGGGCTGGAGGCGTCAACCCAAGCAGCAGGGCTGGAGGCGTCAACCCAAGCAGCAGGGCTGGAGGCGTCAACCCAAGCAGCAGGGCTGGAGGCGTCAACCCAAGCAGCAGGGCTGGAGGACTGGAGGCAACCGGGGCTATACAACCATGTACTGCCCACGAGCCTCCTACTCCAGTGAGGACAACAAGAGCAAAACACCAATGTTTAGTATGTTGTCGTTCGTGCTACTGTTTACCCTCTGAACTTCGTCCAGTTATATTTTTGCTACTAAATGTTTACAATAATTAATCTATCACATTGAATAATGAAAACAAAGGTTACATAATAATGTTACTGTGAAATTGTTAAAAAATAATATATATATATATATATATATATATATATATATATATATATATATATATATATATATATATATATATATATATATATAGTGTGTGTGTGTGTGTGTTGCCTAAGTGAAGACGTATGAGGCTGGTGAAGGTGTGCTGAACGCACATGTTCACAATAATGTTGCAGCTGTGCGGTTGCTTATAATGGTCCTCATCTTTCTGGCTGTCATTCAAACACTTGTATGCGCGTAGTGCCTGAAATGTGCACTTTGGGGGCAGTTTAAAAGTGGATGCTGCAAGCTGTGGCACACACATCAGAACGTGTGTATACAACATTATTCTAGTGCCAGTATACTAAACGCAAGATATAGATGAATCTTTGATTTCCTAACGGAATCAAGGGTTTAATGGTCAACTTGTAAAATCCGGATCATCCACTGCGAAAAGCTCAGGGCAGGCAAGGTACTGTGCTGTCGTACAGTCTTACAACACACCAGATGTTCCCCTTGTATGACACCGGCACATTCCCTATCCACAACTCTCCTCACACAACAGTTCTTATTCGTCTCATTGTTAACGCCAAAAGTGTTACACGTTCTCACCTGATTATATGTTTCCTACGTTTTATTTACAACCACATTTGTTAATATCTTTCACTGATTTGTTCACTTAGGTCATATAACCTCTGGCTTTCGTAACTTCAGTGTCCTTAATCAATTGTTCTAAGGAAAATTCATCATGCTAGAGATGAACCCCCCAAGCACTTGGCTAAGTCAGTGGTTACTAGGGAAGACGTTATTAAATCACTAGACAAATTAGGCTCACCTTCGTGGGACCTTACCTTGAGGTTACCTTGAGGTACTTCCGGGGCTTAGCGTCCTCGCGCCTCGGTCGTCGACCAGGCCTCCTGGTTGCTGAACTGGTCAACCAGGCTGTTGGACACGGCTACTCGCAGCCTGACGTACGAATCACAGCCTGGTTGATCAGGTATCCTTGGGAGGTGCTTATCCAGTTCTCTCTTGAACACTGCGAGGGGTCGGAACACCAACGTTCTTCGTCACTTCCTGCCCGAACTGTAATTACTCCCTAAATCAACGTAAGCAAGAGTAAGCAATTTGTAACAACTTGCGCGTGTCCATAATATACACAATATTTGAGAAACTCCTGCGATTGTTATTACAAGTTAGACAAATTAGAACAAAGCTATTAGTCGGGCGCCGCTAGCTGGCACTCTCTGATATATTGTGTTTAACAACTGTCTGTTCTTGTGCCTTTGTCAGGGGAAGAAAATATACATTTACGCATGTCGAATGCAATAATATACGCATTTTATCAGCTATAGTATATATATATATATATATATATATATATATATATATATATATATATATATATATATATATATTTGTGTGAATAATTTGTTAATATATTGATTGGGGAGGGGGGTTTAAATAGCAATATTATTGAATGCTTTAATACAAATTACTAAAATATAATATGTATTTCAGTGTAATAATATGTATTTCATTACTTGAGACATTTTTAATATGTTTATCTGTTAAAGATCTTAAAAAGAGTCTTGTGGAATGATTCAGCTTTCCATTACTTTACACAGTATATGATTTGATAAAATCATATGTAATGTAATGCAGCCAATACTAGGTAGGTCTTACTGGGGCAACTTTGCTGGGTGAGTGACTGTTTTATTGTGGTGAGTGACCCGGTACCTCTGGGGTCAACTGTGTCATTGTTGTAGGTGACAGTGTATTTCTGGGAGGGAGTGTAACTGTAACATGATGATGAGTGACTGTGTATCTGTGGGTGAGTAACTGTATTATTGTGGTGAGTGACCCGGTACCTCTGGGTGAATAACTAGTCATTGTGGTGAGTAACCGTGTATTTCAGGGGAGTGTAACTGGCATTATGGTGAGTGACAGTGTACATCTGTTTAAGTGTATCATGGTGGTGAGTGACAGTGTATCTGAGTAACTGTATCATGGTGGTGAGTGACAGTGTATCTGAGTAACTGTATCATGGTGGTTGTTGTTTTAGATTTAGCTACTCAGAACAAAGTGTCCATGTAGCACGGGCTATGGTGAGCCCGTAAAGACGGTGGTGAGTGACCGTGTATCTATAGCTCTCTGTCCTTTTGTTGTTTTCAGCCAAGAGCTGGGGGCGTAGAGTACTGGGAGGAGAAGATGCCCAAGTCACACGTAGTGTACTAGACCATTACCACAGTACCCGTCAGGTAGGTCAAGGTTCATCCTCTCAGTCGCATCTACCACTTCCTCCTACACCTTTAACTCCTCTTTTAAACGTAAATGCGAAACTAACAATTAGTAGTTAACCAAATCCATTACACACGATGATTGTAAACGATAGTCCAAAGTGTCTTATATATAAGTCAACCTTTAATGTCCAGCTTTGTCAGTTTCATGCTGTGGTCAACAGTGTGGGGGAACAGGTAGAATGATCTTGACCTCAGACACAACCTACTCCCCAAGCCCGGCATGATGCCAGGCTCGACTTGTGAGAGTTTGGTCCACCAGGCCGCTCCAAGCAACAGCCTGGTGGACCAAACTCTCTCAAGTCGAGCCTGGCCTCGGGCCGGGCTTGGGGAGTAGAAGAACTCCCAGAACCCCATCAAGCAGGTATCAACCAGGTTAATCAACAGCCCTAGGTATTGCCCTAAACTAATCTGCGGTAGAGGGCTGTAGAAAGTAGCCGCTACAAGACCGGGTTTGGAGTTGTTTTATCGCCGTGCTTGGCTCACTGTCCTGTTTGGGAAGTACAGTACGTGTATCCACACGAGACGTTGTTGTACGTATCTGAGGTGACTTGCAGGGTGGTGGTAGAGATGTGATGGCCAGGGTGGGGTCGACCCTCTCACACGCAGGTAGAAGGTAACAAGGGTTCAACATGGGTCGTGATCACCCCCACAACTGTTTACTGCGCTCTCTTTGCTTCCGCCACTCCACCCTCCTTAGGCGGTGATCTACCCCCTCCTTAGGGGGGTAGAAATAGCCTAAGCTACTCTATCCCTTTGAGATGTATTTATTGCTTATCTCAATAAACATACTTGAACTCCACCCTCTTAGTTATTGCGTAGGTGATAAAAAAAAAACAGCATTTCGATGGAGATGAGAGGCGGGCCGAAAGAGCAGAGCTCAACCCCCACAAGCACAACTAGGTGAATACACACACACACACCCTACCAACCCCCTACACAGTTTTAAATGTAGATATGACAGAGCCCAGTAAGCTCAGGGTTGATTGACGGTTGAGAGGCGGGACCAAAGAGCCAAAGCTCAACCCCCCCACAAGCACAAATAGGTGAGTACACACTATTCAAACTTCGTGTTTGAGCTTGGGCTTGGGTAAGTACCCTTTCTCTTTAAATTAAATTTTTTATTCTTTATCTAGGTTTCATTTTATATATTTATTTACTCCGTAAAAAATGCAACTGTTTTGCCGAGCTAGAAACGTACGAAGCCACCACCTAACGTATCGACGCCGATGGATAGAAAATGTCAATATTATTGTGTGTGTATTTTCAATAATGCATCACATTTGTAAAGGTTTTGGTCGATACGGTAAAAAGCTTCGATGCATCTGGTAAGAGGAAGAGTTAGTACTTTAAACTGATAGGTTTATGGTAATGTATTATTGCTAAGGTTACCTTCGTTATTGCGCAGCGTAGCCCAATGTTCCCATGTCTGGCATAAGGACGGGGGTAGCTGCCTATGACAGGCTACCATGAAAACACTTCCTGTTATGCTTGAATGTTATATATATGGTGAGTAGGGGTTGGCAGGTTTCGCAAAGGGGGTCTGGTTGGAAGGTAGGGGTTGGTTGGAAGGGGGGTCTGGTTGGAAGGGGGGTCTGGTTGCCAGGTAGGGGCTGGTTGCAAGGGGGTCTGGTTGGAAGGTATAGGTGGTTGCAAGGGGGCCGGCAAGAAGATAACAATGTAGAGTGGTATATGGTTGCGTGAGAGACCATGGATGCTGCCGTCGGCGCGCGCATGACAATGTGTGTGTGTACGCAGGTTGTAAGCTTGTAGACCTACAGTGACCAGGTGTGAGAAATAATATTGCCTTTCATATGCAGTTGCTTCCTTCTCTTGCTATCAATTACCTACTGTATTTCAATTTTGTCTTTGCAGTTGGTAATGTCTGGGACGCCGCCTGCGGCAGGAGGCGGCGGTGGCGGGGCTGCCGCCGTGGCCGCCGCCGCCGCCGATCACTTCTGCTTGCGTTGGAACAACTACCAGACGAACATGACGGCGGTGTTCGACCAGTTACTGCAGGAGGAGGTGAGTGTCGTCCTCTCCAGTAATTCCTCACATTTTCACTAACCACTAACAACAATCACTTGGCCCCCCCCCTCCCCACCAAGGCCTAAAACTGATGGACATCAAAGCAGCCCACAGAATTGACGTGTTGTCCCATTTTCTATTCGTGGGTCCTCGGTTAGGTTCTGTTCGGGCAATTTAGCACATCAATTTTAGTGACGTTGTCAACGCTCGAGAGTACGGGCTGCGTGCGCACTATAGGGCATCACGGGACACGAGAGGTACTGACTGTTGAGGAATACTCTTGAAGGGGGTATTGCGCATCAAGACATTCCAGAATAGGGGACGCATTGACCATAGAGACATCCCAGGACAAGGGAGGTATTGACCACAGGGTCATCCCAGGACAAGGGAGATATTGACCACAGGGTTATCCCAGGACAAGGACCTGCTCAATATACGTATTTGAGTCAATGAGTGAACTGTTGTGACGGTAATTGTTCTCAGTAGCCCCATGCCAGAATATATTATGATGCGTACTATTTCCACGTGTATCCTTTATTTATGTTCTTGATATATATGGTGTTGTCTACTTTGGTGTTATGAGGATTTGTGACAGGTGTTGGTGGCTGTGTGTTGCAGGTGTTCGTGGATGTAACGCTGTCGTGTGAAGGCGGACAGCAGCTGCGGGCCCACAAAGTGGTGTTGGCGGCGTGTTCGCCCTACTTCCAGGCAGTCCTGCAGAACAACCCTTGTAAACACCCCATCGTCATCCTGCCGCGGGACGTGGCCTTCGCTGACCTGCGCGCCATCATCGAGTTCGTCTACCGCGGGGAGATCGATGTGGCTCAGGAACAGATCAACTCCCTCCTTGCGGCCGCCGACACACTCAAGATTAAGGGTCTGTGTGAGGTGGGCGACGACCCCACGCACGTACCTCCAGGCTTCACCGCCACGCCCTCCACTGCCGCTTCGCGCCACGCTTCTACCTCTCATACGCCCACGCGAGGCCGCCCACCGTACTCACGGGGTCGCTACAACACATCTTACCGACCTCGTGGCCGCCCTCCTCTATACGGAAAACATCGATATGAACGGCCTTCCCTCTCCACGGCCGCCAGTCGTCGCGCAGACCACGACCATCCCGTGAGTACCTTGTCTACCGCTAGTTCTCTGTCATGTGCTAGTTGTCATGTCCCCCAGGGTGATAGTTGTCATGTCCCCCAGGGTGATAGTTGTCATGTCCCCCAGGGTGATAGTTGTCATGTCCCCCAGGGTGATAGTTGTCATGTCCCCCAGGGTGATAGTTGTCATGTCCCCCAGGGTGATAGTTGTCATGTCCCCCAGGGTGATAGTTGTAATGTCCCCCAGGGTGATAGTTGTCATGTCCCCAGGGTGGTAGTTGTCATGTCCCCCAGGGTGATAGTTGGCATGTCCCCCAGGGTGATAGTTGTCATGTCCCCCAGGGTGATAGTTGTAATGTCCCCCAGGGTGATAGTTGTCATGTCCCCCAGGGTGATAGTTGTCATGTCCCCCAGGGTGATAGTTGTAATGTCCCCCAGGGTGGTAGTTGTCATGTACCCCAGGGTGGTAGTTGTCATGTCCCCCAGGGTGATAGTTGTCATGTCCCCCAGGGTGATAGTTGTAATGTCCCCCAGGGTGGTAGTTGTCATGTCCCCCAGGGTGATAGTTGTCATGTCCCCCAGGGTGATAGTTGTCATGTCCCCCAGGGTGATAGTTGTCATGTCCCCCAGGGTGATAGTTGTCATGTCCCCCAGAGTGATAGTTGTCCATGATGTCCTCCAGAGTGCTAGTTATGTGATGTCCTCCAGAGTGCTAGTTATCTGTGATGTTCTCCAGAGTGCTAGTTATCTGTGATGTCCTCCAGAGTGCTAGTTATCTGTGATGTCCTCCAGAGTGCTAGTTATCTGTGATGTCCTCCAGAGTGCTAGTTATCTGTGATGTCCTCCAGAGTGCTAGTTATCTGTGATGTCCTCCAGAGTGCTAGTTATCTGTGATGTCCTCCAGAGTGCTAGTTATCTGTGATGTCCTCCAGAGTGCTAGTTATCTGTGATGTCATTGTTGATATCATTATACTCTAGTAATAAAGTGCTTTATCATCATTTACTTGCTTGTGGATGGTATTCATTTGGTTGTATCATTATATCAGAGTTGCCTGAATTTGGTACAAAAAATAACCTTTGCAGGTATTGCCAATTCACCATAATCTAGTCAAGGATTTTTCCAGAACATCTTTCATTAGTATAATTTTTACCTGCCTCTCCTCCTATCTCCTTTCCCCGTGTCTTAACATCCTACTACTGTATCTCTCATTCGTCGATTATTCCTCTTTTTATAATACTGTTTCTTGAAAATCATCTATATCTACGTGTTTTTCTTGTACACCCTTAATCTTACCACACGTGTCTCTTGCATGCGTGCACACACACACACACACACACACACACACACACACACACACACACACACACACACACACACACACACACACACACACACACACACACTCCACGCACACACGACACACACAGGGTGCTGAGTGGACAGCACGCTGGATACGTAGTCCTGTGGTCCGGGGTTCGATTCCCGGCGCCGGCGGAACTTGCCGTTGGTCACCTTCTGACTCTTCTTCCTTCCCGTTGGTCACCTTCTGACTCCTCTTCCTTCCCGTTGGTCACCTGACTCCTCTTCCTTCCCGTTGGTCACCTTCTGACTCTTCTTCTTTCCCGTTGGTCACCTGACTCCTCTTCCTTCCCGTTGGTCACCTACTGACTCCTCTTCCTTCCCGTTGGTCACCTACTGACTCCTCTTCCTTCCCGTTGGTCACCTTCTGACTCTTCTTCCTGACCTTCATCATAACACATTTCCCCGTTGATGTGTGATCATGTTGTTACTGTGGTGGCCACTGGTAAAGTACTAACACGCTCTCGTGCCTGGCGCTCACCTCGTGGGTGAGCAGAGTTCCAGTAAACGGATCAAGCTGGAGACCGGAGAGGACGACAGCCACGGGGGCGGGAGTGAGGATGGGGAGAGTGCGGCCGGCCACCAGCGACCCCCTCACCCACACTACGTCCACAACGGTATGTTCACTACTCTTATCCTAGCCGCCCCTCCCCGCCCCCCTCTCACCCTCCCACTCTTATCATTCCCCATCCCTCCCATGTCGCCCGGATAACCTTAGTTACTGTTTTAATTAATTTCTTTATGTGGTAGCTTTGTCCTCAAGCAGTGTATCACACTCTTCACATATTACATGTATACACCTTTATTAAGGGCCTAAGAGTTCACACCATTCCTCGTGTTCAATATGTCTTTGTAGCTCATATACAAATTATAGAATTACGAAGTTATGTGATTAATGTGGTGGATCCATCAAGCTGTTGAGGTCTAGGGCAAGAGTTGGTGCAATATTTCCGGCTGCTTCATTCACGGCGCCGCAGTGCCACAAAGTTTAGCTCCGCGTGCTCCTGTGAACCAATCCAGAGGTTCTGGTTATTCGCAGTTCCCCAAACTGGGATAAAGAGGATTTTCTTTCTAATTACATTTGTATATTGGAACATGGTAACAAAAAATGAACACTGCAATAGGCCTCCGAGACAGGTCTCATCATTAACACTTAACCACGCTCACGCGTCTGTCTATATCCTGAATTTAACACCGAGGATTAGCTTCACTTACGCTCTTTACGGTTTGTTTAAATCTCCAATGATTATGGCAACCCAGCCACCAAAATGATGCAACTATATTTTTATGGATGGAATGCACAACATAAAGTGATGCCCCCAAAAAGTTCGCGTTACGTATTATTGGAATTCAAAAGGGTGCATGCATATTGACTTTTACCTAATAGAATAGAATGTTTATTGTATTTTGCTCTGATGAAGGCGAATTGAGCCGAAAACGTGTTTAGTATTATTTTCACATGTGGTTTTTCCGCATATATATATATATATATATATATATATATATATATATATATATATATATATATATATATATATATATATATATATGTGTGTGTGTGTGTGTGTATGTGAGACAAAGGCTGCATTAAACGCACGAGCCATAGATCACTAAGAACTCTAAATGACCCGGCCAGGATTCGAACCCATGCCGCTCAGGACACCCCTTCCCCCCTCAATGTTCAGTGCTGTGACCACCTCGCCAATGATAAGTCTATAAGGATTGGTTAGTCCTGGTGCTTAGTAACTAAGCTCCACGATTAACCAACCGCCGGCTACTCTCTCACATGGTTCAATGGTACCAGAATTTGATGAAACATTTTACCCAAATTGAATAGAAATGAAGAATGCATTTCTGCAGAATAGAACCAGTGAAGAGTAGAGGTGCCGTAGGTACAATCAGAGAGCACTGTCTGAACATCAGAGGTCTACGGCTGTCCAACACTCTGCCAGCAAGCATAAGAAATATTGCTGGAACAAATTTAGAAGTCTTCAAAAAGCATTTAGATAAGTTATTGCAGGAAGTGCTGGACCAATCGGGTTGTAGTGGATGTATGGAGGGAGGGACCCTCCACATATGTGGAGGAAAATACTGGAGGGCAAAGTCCCAAATTTATACAGTAAAATAACAACATACTGGTGTGAATGAAGGATATGAAAGGAAATGCAGAATAGAGCCAGTGAAGGACAGAGGTGCCATAAGCACAATCAGAAAACACTGTATGAACATCAGAGGTCCACAGTTGTTCAACATCCTCCCAGCGAGCATAATAAATATTGCCGGAACAAAAATGGACGTATTTAAGATAAAATTGGATAGTTTCTTCAAGAAGTGCCGGACAAACCGGGATGTAGTGGATACGCGGGCCTGTGGACTGTTCCAAGCAACAAGCTGTTGGACCAAGCTCTCAAGCCTGGTCCCGGGCCGGACTCGGGAGTAGATCAACTCCCGTAACCCCTTCTAAGTATGCTCCAGGTACTGTGTATATAGTACAATGAAGACCATTTTGCCACAACCTGAAACAGATTTTGCATTTTAATGTTTGATATAGAAAAACATTAATCTTATATATATATATATAACTAATAATCAACGTATTAAACAAATTTCATGTAAGGTTTCTGGTAACATGTTTGATTGACGTAAAATATATGTAAAGCATCACACGTAAATCATAAAAGTCTCGCGACTTCCAACCTTTTTGTACCGTCAGTATGGTTTAGTGGGTATAGTACTTGATATGTTAAGGTGCATGGAACCCTGGCTGTCTGGGTTCGAATCCTTCAGGGGTGAGAAGTTTTCGGTTGCATATTGACTTGGGAACCATTCTGGATTCTTCGCGCGCGCGCGCGCGCGCACACACACACACACACACACACACACACACACACACACACACACACACACACATATACACATATATATATATATATATATATATATATATATATATACACACACACTTCACACATCCCGATCGTTTTGGCAGTTGCTTTAATTTTCACGACCACAAAAACATATTGAATTCATTCTACATTTGCATATATTTACTTGGGAACAAATCTTGCAAGTCCACGGATGAGGGAGGGGAGATTATCAGGGAAGAGCGCCAAGCCATTTCGACTATATATAATGATCAGGTGACACTTAAAGGATCAGGCTCTGTGAGACTTGTGGAATTCATCCTGTCTCATTTTCCTTACACCCGTGTGATGACTTGTCAGGAAAACATCTTTTGTCCTCTACTAGACTACCATCTGTTTGCCTGAAGATACGCCCTTCTGATGTGCAGTTTTAGATTTATAAGGAAGTTAGTGGGAGCTTCGTAAAATACTAATTTTTCACGGGGGTATTATTTGAAAATGTGGAGATCATACATTTTTTTCATTTTTTTTAACAAAACTTTTGTCAAATACTCGGCATTTTCCATGATGGCCGGTGATAATTCTAGTCTTTAAACACTTTAAGAAGGTAGGCATTATCTTCCGTCCGTGCTAGAGCTGCATGTCTTGTCCCAACTTATGCACTCCTAATATACAAAAAGGGAGACAGGAGGCATTAAACTACAGGCCTGTGGCCCTAACTTGCATACCGCGCAAGGTGATGGAGAAGATTATGAGAAAAACTAGTAGAGCATCTAGAGAGAAGGAACTTTGTAGTACATCACCAGCATGGGTTCAGGGATCTAAAATCTTGCCTCATAGATTTAACACAATTCTATGACCACGAGACAAAAAAAATGACAGAACGGTGAGCGAACTGCATATTTTTGGACTATCAGAAAGCCTTTGACAACGTACCCTGTAACTACCGTGTGCATAAGTTGCAAAAAGGTTAAGAAAGAACGATAGCAAGAGACTACAAGATGACCTGGACAAAATTAAAGGCTAATCCAACAAATGGCTACTAGAGTTTAACGCCAGTAAATGTAAAGTAATGAACTAGATGTGGAAAGGCAGGTTTTAAACTATTCCTTACACAAGTTTCTAAAGGCAGTTCCTATTTTGGCCAACCTAAACACGCACACACACATAATGTGTGTGTGGGGAATCTGTACACCAGTTGACTGACAGTTGAGAGGCGGGACCAAAGAGCCCGAGCTCAACCCCCGCAAGCACATCTAGGTGAGTACATAACGAGTTCGAAAAAGTGCAGAAGTTTGCAACGAGACTCGTCGCAGAGTTGCAAGGGATGAGGTACGAAGAGATACTGACGGAACTAAACCTGGCGACGTTAGAAAGGAGGAGATAGAGGGGGGGGGCATAATACAGACGTATAAAATACTTAGAGGGATTGGCAAGGTGGAAACAGGAATTGTTCGCAGTATCAACAGAACAAGGGGGCACGGATGGAGCCTTGAAACTCAGATGTGTCATAGGGATGTTAGAATGTTTTCCTTTAGCATAAGGGGAGTGAGTAAATGGAATGACCTAAAGGGACAGGTTGTAGAGGCTAACTCAATTCATAACTTTAAAAGCCGGTATGATAGGGAAATAGGTCAGGAGTTATTGTATTAGACAACCAACGGCTAGTAAAGCGGGGTCCAAGAGCTAGAGCTCGATCCTGCAGGCACAAATAGGCGAGTAGACACACACACACACACACACACACACACACACACACAGGCTAAATATATTCTTTTCATTTCCATATTATTTTTCACCTCGTACACATTATCTCTTCTTTCCTTAAGGTCGTTCATACTTACAAAAACAATACTCAGGTTCCCCCACTAACCCTGACCCACCTCTTAATAAACTACTTGTGAAATATCCTCTCGACTCCCTACCTGGTGTGCAACCGTGGGTCAAGCGGTGTTTCGGTCCCACTGAGTCCTTCTCAACTCCCATCAACTCTCAACTTCTCAACCCCACTGAGTCCTTCTCAACCCCCATCAACTCTCAACTTCTCAACCCCACTGAGTCCTCAACTCCCATCAACTCTCAACTTCTCAACCCCACTGAGTCCTTCTCAACTCCCATCAACTCTCAACTTCTCAACCCCACTGAGTCCTTCTCAACCCCCATCAACTCTCAACTTCTCAACATCTCCGCCAGTCACCGGCCATCTTTAACCATTCTCTTGCTGGGGTGAAGACACACACATTTGCAAGATCTTTCCTGACAGTTGTACATTAGCATGACCTTTCTGAGCAGGTACATACTTCCCTAGTTTTTCTGAACCAGTGTACACACTTGCATGACCTTTTCAGATTGGTGTATACATATGACTTCTCCAAATTGGAGCATGTATGGCCTTTACAAGTTGGTGTATACGTATAGCCTTTCCAAATTGGTGTATATGCATGACCTCTCCTAATTGGTTATACGCATGTTCTTTCAAAATTGGCGACTATGCATAATATTTCAAACTGGTGTATGTGCATGACCTTTCAAAATTCTATACACACAACCTTTTCAAATTGGTGTATATGTATGACTCTTCCAAATTGGTTTATTGCATGACCTTTCCTAATAGGTGCACATTTGTATGGCTTTACGAACACATATGCGATTGCATATGATCTTTCTGAGCAGATGTATATACTTGCATGACCTTTCTGAAGAAATGTAGACTTGCATGACTATTCTGGACAAAAGTATTCGTGCATGGCCTT